ACGGCAGCGCCCGCAAGGCGATGACGCGGCTCGTCATCGTCGCTTGCATCGTCGCTCATGGGATACCCACTGCGATCGATGGCAGCATCGTGGGCAGCATCGGGCGTGGGCCCCGCGATGCCGATGGCGGAACGTGGCGTGGCGTGTGCTTCGTCCCCGTTCTCGTCTTGCAGACGTGCATCTACCGCCTCCACCGTTGGTTGTTGGTCAGCGATCAAGGACGAAGCGGCGCGCACTTGCTCAGACTCGTCGTCGCTTCTGTCGTTGTCGACCTCGGCAGCGATTTCTGTCGCTTTCTCATCGGGTCCTTCGTCTGCCTCGTACTCGGGGAGAGGCGCCAGGTCGACAGCATTGCTATGGATGGCACCCACTGCGCTATCGGTAGCGACTTCCGGCTCGTCGTATTCTGCATCAAAGTCGTCCGATAGCTCGGCATCGCTCTCAGCAGCATCGTCTGCACCTTCGTGCGCGTCACCGCGCAGGTCCAGACCTTCGGGAGACAGGACGCGGGTGTCGATTTCGGTTTCTTCTGCGTTGTCCGTGATGTCGCCGGCCAACATTGGCCCCGCTGTCGGAACGGTGCCAAGCAAAGGCGTCGACGGTGCTTCCGTTTCATCAGTGCCGTCCGCCAAAGACGCCGACTGGGCGTGCTGGGGTGGGGGGTTTCGTCGAGAGTCCCGTCTTCACTATCGCTCCCAGCAGACATTGTTGCCTCGGGTGCCTCGACATGTGCTTGGGATGGACATGTGTCGTTGTCTGCGGCACGCGGCTCGTCATCTGCGCTCTCTTCCTGCGCGTCATCGTCGTCGTCATGGACGTCATCATTGTCATCATTGTCATCATCCGAAGCAAAGCTCGTTGCTTTGTGCATGTCGCACGGGGTGTCGTCGGCGGCCGTCGGCGATGCCGGCCGGTTGTTGGGCACCGCAAGTGCTTGAATCGTCGCCTCGGAACCGTTGGCATTCGGACGTTTTTCAATCGTGTCTTCGTTACTGTCACTGACGACGCCATCGTCGTCTCCGTCCTCCTCCGTAGCCGCCTCATGGAACGCAGCTCCGTGTCCGTGTGTCGTATCGTCGTGGTTCGCCACACCCTCGATATCTGCAACGCTCGTCTTCGGTAATGCGCCGTCGCCCGCTGCGTGAGTCCTTGCATCGGTCGAGTGCGCGGTCATGGTGCCGATCGTTGCGGCCACCGACTGCAGCCGCGCAGCTAGCGACGGCAAGTGGGACATCGTCTTCATGATGTACGCGTGCTGCGAGGTGTCGCCGCCGTGCGCCGCAAACAAGGCCGTCAGCTCGGTGAACGCGACTTCGGCGTTCGCGGCGCACTCGGATTCGAGCAGGCGCAAGCGAAGGCGCTCCTTCTCGTGCTCGTCGCGCTGCTTGTGGACCGCGGTGGCTTCAGTGGTGAGTGACGACTGGAGGTGCTGCAGCTGGTAGAGTTGCATGGGGACGGCCGCGACTTGCTGCCGCAGCGTCTGCAGCTGGCTCTGGAGTCCTTCGAGACGATCTTGGGCGTGCCCAATCGCACTGTACTGCTCGTCGTGCGCCGCCTGGGACTCGAGGAGCGTCTGCATGTGGGCTTCCGTGGCGTCTTCGAGTGTGTCGACTTCGCCGCGAAGCGCCTCGACGTCGACGGTGATCTCGTGAAGGAGCCAGCTCATTTCGCTGTCGCAGCGCGCCAAAGCGGCTTCCGCGACCACGACTTGGCTCTGAAGTGCCTCGACCTCGCACGATTTGGCCGCCACCTCGAGCTCGAGCGGCGCCAACGCGGCCTTGGACTGCGCGAGCTCGGCCGTCCATTGAGCTTCGGTGGCTTGGAGCGCTGCCAGTGCCGCGGCCTTGTCACATGCCGCGCTGGCTTCCAAGCGTGCCAACGACGCTCGTGTCGCCTCGAGGTCGTTTGAGCGCGCCTCGAGTTCAAGTCGAAGCAGCGCGAGCGCCTTCTCGGCCGCCGCCAGGTTCTGCACCGTGTCCATCGAGCTCTGTCGAAGCTGCGCCGCGGCGGCGGGTACATCGTCGAGCGACGAGACATCGAGCGCGGTGACGATCGCGTCTCGCTCGTCGCTGGCGTCGTCGAGCGCTGCTTGGAGCTCGGCCACGTGGGCTTGCAGCGTGGCTACAAGCGTCGACGTCGACTCGGCGCACGGCAGACGGAGTTCGGTCACGAGCCGCCGCAAGTCGTCTTCCATCGCGGTCGTCGCGCTACGCTGCACGTGCAGCGCTTCATGAAGCGATTGCAGCTCCAACGCGGACTCGGTCTTGTACGCGGCATGGGTCGCTTGCGCTGACGTGAGGGCGTCTCGGCTTCTTTGGCGGCCCACGCTGCAAGCGACGCGTCGGAGTCCGCTTTCTCGGCCATCAACACTGCCAATCGAGATTCGACCTCTACCAATGTGCCTTGTGCGAGGACGAGTGCTTCTTTCTCCGATGTGAGCGCCAGAATGGTCGCGTCGCGGGCAGCAATCGCCGTCTCGAGGCTCGCAATGGCATCGCTGTGCTGGATCGCATCTTCTTCTCGCGCGCTACCAAGTGCTTTCATATCGTCGTGGCTCGTCGAGAGAGCGTCTTCCAGCGCGCGCATCTTGGCCTCGAGCTCGGCCTTTTCACTTGCGGTTGCGTCGGTCATCGTCTCGAGCGTAGTACGCGCTTCGTACAGTTCTTCTTCCAGTGCCGACGTCGCCTCGGATGCCGATGCGAGTTCGTTGCGCAGTTGCTCCACGTCGTTGACGCGCGACGCGAGCTCGTCTTGTAGCGCCTCGATCCGAGCCTCCAAGCTCGAGCCATCCGTTTGGTACTCTTGGTGCAGCTGTGCCACTGCGTCTTCCTGGGTCCGGACATGGGCTTCCAACTGCGCTTTCTCCTCCAAAAGCGTCTCGAGCTCGATGGCGAGAGTTGATATACGCGCCTCTAACGCCACCTTGTCGTTCTCGTGGATGGCCGCAGCGTCGGCCAGCTGGGTGCGCAATGTCTCGATGGCCGTAGCACTCTCGGCCTGCGCTTGTGCCTGGACCGTCTCCCACTGCTGCACACGCTCGGCCCACGTCGTCTGGAGCGCTGCGACACACGCCAAGGCGCTCTCGTCAGCCGCCTCTATCGACGCGCCAACGTCCTTGGCCATCGTCGTCAAAACGGCACACACGTGCGTATGCTGCGCCGACTGCGACGCGAGTGCGTTCGAGATCTGCGTCAATGCGGCCTCGCGCGCGGCCAGCGTGGAGTCGTGGCTTGCTTGGAGCGCCGCCAGCTCCGCCTCGAACGACACTCGCGACGCCTGGAGGTTGGATTCCAATGCCTTCTTGGCAGCCTCGAGCTCGGTAACGTTGGCTCGGAGCGCGTGGATCGTGTGCGTCTGCGCTGCCATTTCGTGCACAGTGGCTTCCAGCTCGCTTGGCGGGGCCGTTGCTTGTGGCGGTTGCGCTGCCGCGGCGGCCTGTAGCCGCTGCAAGACGCCTTGCAGTGTCGCGAGCTTGGCTCGCTTTCGCGCGTCGTCCTGAAGCAGCGCGTGGAGCGAAGTCTGCGCGGCCGCGCGGTCGCGGTCGGCGGCCTGCCACTGCTTTTGGAGCCGCGCCAATCGGTCCGTGAGACGGTCCATCGCCTGCTTTTGGTCGAGCGCCGTGCGCGCCTTGTCCTTCTCGGCGCTCTGGAGCTTGAGCTTGTACGATAGTGCTTCGTGGCGGGCGCTACTCAAGTCGGACTTGCAGACGCGCAGCGTCGACTGCTCGTGCTTCCAGAGCGCCTTCATGACTTCGACTTGGCCGGAGGTCGACGCAATCTGCAACAGCTTGGACTGCAGCGCATTTTGCAGTGCAAGGACGTCGGCATCGCGCTTGGCTTCGGCCTCCGACACGCGACTTTGAAGTTTTTGGATTTGCATATCGCGGTCCTTCTCGAGCCGCGCAAAGTGGGCGTCCATATCGAGCTTGGTGCTCTGGAGCTGGTCGAGTTCGTTCACGCACTGTAGCAGCTTGGCCCGCAGCGCTTGTGTCTCGGTGACATGGCTCTTCTGCACGCTGCTCTGCATCGTTAAGAGCCCTGCCGAGGTCTTCTCGACTTGAAGTTTGAGGTCGTCGACCCACTTGGTCGCGTCGTGCCATTTCTGGTCAAATTCACGGTACATCTAGCACAAAACGCATGGAAATCGTGGACTTGGAACAAGGAGTACCTTGGAGACGGACGTTTCGAGCCGCTTCCACGCCGAGATGGTGCCCCGGGCCTCGAGCTCGTCCACAAGCAGCGTCGTGACTTGCTGCTTGGAGACGTACGTGTCGGCGATGTGCCGCAGCACGGCCTTTTTCAAAAGCTCGTCGCGCTCGCTCGCGTTCTTCGTAGCGTCACCGTCGCTCTCGATGGCGCTCGATTTTGTTTCAACGGTCGCCACACGCTTGGCGAGCGCAGTCAAGCGCAGATCCAACGACGTGGCCATGTCCTGCGACCGCGCGTCCGTCCGCTTGGTGTGTGCGTCGACTTCGTTGCGAAGATCGCCAACACTGGCTTCCAACGCGTACTGAATCGCTTTTTCATAATTTTCTCGCTGGCCCTGGATCGTCTACACTCGGTGGGTTATCATCCGCCGGTGGACTCGAGACACTATCGTGTACCTTGAGAAAACTGGCATTTTTCGTCTCTTGCATGTCGGTGAGCGCTTCGAGGCGCCGTGTGAGGCGGTCGTCGTAGGCCTGCATCGCTTTCGTCACCACGGTCTCCATGGTATGCGTGAGCGTCGCAGTATCTAAGTTGAAAGGCCAATCTCAATCTCAACGTCAACTCCTATGGCAATCACAGTACCAAACGACTTGGCGGCCTTGGCTTCGAGCTGCGAGATGCGCAGTGTACAGTGCTCGATGGACTGTTCGACGTCTGATGCCTTGGCAAGTCGCGTCGCGAGCTCTGCCACGGTGCGCTCGAGCGACACGACCTTCTTTTCGAGGCCGTCGACCAGGGCAGCCTTGGCACTACGCGTCCACATGAGATTTACTAGCAGACACACAAGCACATTTTGTACGTACGTCTGTGTCTGTAGATCGATGTCGACGGCGGCCTTCCATTTCAACACGTGGTTGGCCTGTACATCCAGTCGTCCGAGGATTGCCGACTGCTCTTGCAACGTATGCTCCACGCTGCTCACGTGGTTCGCTTTGGCCTCGAGCTACACAGGCCATTTGTCGTCAGCGTTTGGGCTTCCGTTGCGCGTAAGAGAGCTACCTGCGTCGAGAGTTGCTGGAGCTTCAACGACGCGGCGCCGCTTTCACCCGCGATGGTTTGATAGTCGGTGCGCAGATCGGCGATTTGCTTTTCGAGGAGGCTGGCGCGCGACGCAATATCGACTTGCAGGCTACACCAGGCACAAGGATCGTGAGATACCGTACAGAAGATCAAGTACCACACCTCTTTTTGATTTCGTCGAGCGACAAGAGCGGCTGATGCGCGGCCCGCGCCTCGCGGTCGTCTTGATTGGTGTTGACGGTCGACGGCGCTTCCCACGCCGAGCTCGCGGCCCGGCGCGGCCCTTTGTCCTTGTCCTTGGCCTTGGTCGACTCCTACGTGGCACCACGTGCCTCGTACGCTGCCACGTCACGATCCTAAATCGTACCAGCATTTTGTGTGCAATGTGGCGCTTCAACGTCGTCGAGTCGTCAAGGACTTGCTTCCACTTGTGGATCGAGGCGCTACATGCGCATCAGCATCCTGCATCGTCGTACTCGTCAATATTACTCGGTGGCAATGCTCGCGCGCGTCCGGTCATTGCCGGCCGTCGGTTCCCGCGCTGCGCCCAGCGCGTTGGACGACTTGGCGCGGCTCATCATCGCCATCGCCTTCTTCGCCGGCGCGTCTTCGCGCTTCTCGCCAATCTTGCGGAGGAGGTTGAGGTTCTGGTTGGTCTTCTCGATGATGGCCGCGAGGTCCGACTCCCAGTCGTCCGTCAGCACCGTCTTCTTCTCCATATCCTCCGAGTACGTACTGCGGCGTCGGCGAGAAATTGAAAAATACTCTGGTTTCGTTTGGATTCTTTTTTATTACGAGCGGTTTCGGTGGCAACCGACGTCGCTTGACGAGGTGGCCAGCAGTCGCCGGCGCAGCGCAGCGACCGCCGCATCGGGCGTCGTGAGTACCGGCAGCGACGTCGTCGCAGCAACCAGCGGCGCGCTCTGCGCAAGGCTAAACTGCGCCAGCGCCACGGCATGGACAGGCGTCGCGGCCAGAGCCGCCGACACGGCGGCGGCCGCCAACGCATTGTGGCGGTCGCTGTCGCCGGCGTTGAGCGCCTCGAGCGCGCCTTCAATGTGCACGGGCACGATACGCAGATGGACATCGGGCGATGCGCCACGCAGCGCATCGATTTCCTCGAGCATCGAGCCCAACGTCGGGTAGAACGTTGCCGCGAGCGCAACGACGAACGGGTCCGCTTCTGTCGCGTTCGATGCGCGGGCCATCACGAGCAGGTCGTCGAGCATCGCTTCGTTGGGCTTGAGCACAGGCGTGGGCGCAACGCGGGCCGCGACGGCGTCAATGTAGCTCCCAAACGCCGAGCACGTAAACAAAAGCGCATCGCCAGCCATTTCGGTCGTGGCGTACGAGCTCAAAAAGTGAAAGCGTGCTTGGATCGGGTCGTACAGGCGCGGCGCCGCGCCGGGCGCGGGTGGGTCGGCGCGAACGAGGGCGGCGAGGTCGGCCGCGAGCGAGTCGTCGGTGAGGTTGGCCAGCGACGCTGTTGGCCAGAGCCGAGCGAACGCTGCTTCAATCGGTGCCTGCGAGTGGCGAAGCGCATGGATCATCACGATACGCATGTTGGCTCGTCGCTGGTGGCAGGCGGCGCTCGCGCGATCTTCTTCTCCGGACGTCGGCAACCGGCGATGGGCTGGGACATGCTGGTATCATACTTGGTCAATGTATAGTATGGTAGAATGCCGTCATGGCGATCCGGACCACACCGGACGGCCAAGTTGCACTTTGATGAGATATGGCCTCCGATTACGCAAGCCGTCTCAGATCTTGGTCGAAGCACTTACTAGATTGACAGGAGCATGGCGCAGTCGTACCGCAAGATCGTGTGCACGGAGCTCTCGACCAACTTCCGCGCCGCGACCACGATCGTGTCGGCGCCGCTCGCAAGCCTCGTCGCCGCCGCCCACACGGTCGTCGTTAAGAACCACTACCTCGGCATCAACGCGTCCGACATCAACTTTACGAACGGCAAGTACCTTCCGGGCGTCACGCCGCCCTTTGACGTCGGCTTCGAGGCCGGTATGCCCTCGTCTCTTGTCACTATTGTTGTCGTCTTATGCGCGATCTATAACAGTCGGCGAGGTGGTCGCCGTCGGCCCCAAGGTCAAGCACCTCAAGGTCGGTGACGCCGTCATGTATTCGCGTACGCCTTGCAACAATGTATCGATGCATTTAAGGATGTCGGTACTGACTAGTCTACGGCGCCTTTGCCGAGTACATTGTCGTGCCCATCAAGTTCATCTCCAAGGTGCCGCTGCTCTCTCCATCCGTGCTGCCGCTCAATGTGTGCGGCCTCACGGCCTCGATCGCCCTCGACGTCACGGGCGAGGTACGATGCTGCTGCTCGCTGCCTACGTCTTACTGAGAGAAACCCTCCCAGATGCAGCAAGGCGAGGTCGTCCTTGTGACTGCCGCGGCCGGTGCGACGGGCCAGTTTGCCGTGCAGCTTGCCAAGCTGGCGGGCAACACGGTCATTGGCACGTGCAGCTCCCAGGAAAAGAAGGAGTTTCTCCTCAACCTTGGTTGCGACCGTGCAATCGACTATACGAAAGAAGACGTTGGCGCCGTCCTCAAGAAGGAGTTTCCCCGCGGCGTCAACCTTGTCTTCGAGTCGGTCGGCGGCGACATGCTCGACGTACGCCCTATTCTCGATGCGTGTCTGCTTGATAGATTGATATGTTGTGAAATAGACGTGCGTCGCGAACCTCGCGCGTCATGGCCGCCTCATTGTCATTGGCGCCATCTCGGGCTATCAAGATTCGAGCTCGTGGGACGGCAAGACGGCGGGTGGTGCGGGTCCGCTCTCGACGGCGCTCCTCTCCAAGTCGGCGTCGCTCCGGGGCTTCTTCCTCAACCACCACATGGCCCACTTTGGCGCGCACGCCAAGAAGCTCGGGCTCCTCGTGCAAAAGGGACTTTTGGACCCGGGTGTCGACCCGACGCCGTTCCATGGCCTCGAAGCGGTGCCCGATGCGATCGAGTACATGTATGCACGCAAGAATGTTGGGAAGCTCATTGTCGACCTCACGTCGATGCCAACCGCGCGGCTTTAAGTAGAGCGCGGCGAGAGATCGGACGGATGTTCCTAAGTCGAAATACCATCGATTGACGTGTTCGACCAGAAATATAAAGTGGGTTTTGTGTGACAAGCTAGTGCTACGTGGAGGGTCTACCGCCACAATGACAGTGTGTTGAGATAGTGCAAAAAAACTGTTTTGACTGTCTTTGACGGCGAGACACAGACGAGAAAAGCAGTCGGATCGACAGTTTAGGACATGGGGAACCCGCCAGTGCGGCCAAGGGCACGGGCAGCGACCTTTGACGTACAAGCCGTTCGGAGCTCCTTTCAAGTGTGGCTCGATTTGACCCTTGTGACAATCAGGGTCAACGTATTGGGGTAAACATTTCTCGACAGGAATAGCGAGGGTGTGTCCAAGTCATGGATTACTATCATGTGGCGATGATAAATGTCTTTGCTTGTAGGGAAAAGACGCACCGGTCGGTTGAAGGTACACAACGTACTCCGAATAAGGTGGTCCCAACGTGTTGTTCGCTTGATGGAGGAGTGCTCGTATTTTGCAAGGTACTAGAAAGTGTATGAATGCAAGTTGCTTGTTTTCATGATTGAAGGGAATTCAAGTACTAGTAGCTTGTTTTCTTTACCTAAAGCTTTGCCTTGCGCCCACGAACGATATTTTTGTCGGCGCACCCGCCTTGATAGCTTTTGTCTTTTTGATTGGCTTCTTTGTCGCCTTGGATGACGAAGGCGCGATACCGCGGGATGTTTTCAGCTTGGTCGTAGGTTCAATGCGCGAGATGACAATTGGCATCGAGTGCAGCATGTCAAAGCAGCACGTCTGCCACACGTGACCGACCTTACAGTGCTCGATCCACTTGGGATCTGTATACTCCACTTCGTACACGCCTTGCTCGAGCTGCCGCTCCTGTTGATAGCCGCTGTAGACGAACGCCGGGTTCGTCTCGAGCGTCGACGGCGAGTACGCTGTCCGCTCGACGCGCTTCACAAACGCGTGCGCTTTCGCTTTCATCCACGCAGGATTCAGCCTGTGGCCATTCGTTGCAATTGCAAAGGGCTCGTTGGCGCTCGGGAAAACACTGTTTGGACCGACGTTGGCGTACGATCGAAAGAGGAACCGGTCGTCGTCGAGGAGGAAGACGAAGAACGAGGCGTCCGATGGCACGGTGCGACCGCCGTCGTAATAGATGTTGTAGACGCGGAAGAGAAGACATGTGCAAGAGACGACGATGCACTTACCACGGTGGACACGGACGACACGGACGCGGTAGAGCTTGGTCGCCATCTTGGTGGCAATTTGCAATGTGCTCTCCACATTGGATGCCGCAGGGGCCGTGAATGATGTTCTAAAAAGACCTACATTCACGTGGTTGCATCTCGACGCGTACAATTCGTCCAGTAGTGTGAGTGGACAAATGTACAGAGGCCTCCACGAGAAGATGCAGCGCGACAATACGCTATGATAAATCGGGTCGCAACTTCTGCGAAAGCGCGTCTTCCTACAGAACCATTGCCGAAAAGCTGGAGGAGGCAGATCGATGTCTGGGGTGCGGGCGAACAGCACGATAGGATGCTGATGGAATCTTCGCAATCATCCACAAAATGCATGCATTGGCTTGTCACCAGCAAAAATAGCAATCAATACTCACGACGGTGTTTGACTAGGAGTTGCGAGCGCGCCTGAAGTCATGGACATTTCTCGTGGAGGCCTCTGTACATTTATCCACTCACACTACTGGACGAATTGTGACTACGGCTGCACCTTGGAGGCTAGGGTAGGTCTAGGGTTGTACCTCCTTCACTTTAGCGGTGAGTTTCTCTCGTTGTACGCCTTCATCGTCGACGTAACGTAGCTTTTTCGTCTCTCCAAAGTGTCTTCTATCCATGTACCAAGAATGAGCGGTACCGATAGAAAACCTTTCTTTGGTCATCGGGCAACCGCGCGAAGCATGCGTGAGTTCCATCCCGTCTCTGATTGGTTTTATACTATCTAGTTTCAGCCAATCAAATCGACCAAATCTAATACACATTGACCAGGATTTCTCTCGCTGTACGCCTCCCATGCCAACCTACCATAGCGTTTTAGAGTCTCTGAAGTGTTTTTTATTGGTGCACAAAGTTTGAGCGAATCTTTGTCCGGGTTGATTTGGCCATTCCGCGACCTCGGTGGCGGCGAGCACAACTCAAAGTCATCCCGGATTGGTTGATTTTATAGATATTACAGCCAATCAAATGTGCTGCACTGTATGATACGCTCGACACAGCACTGCAGTTGACATGCCAACACCAGCTATACCAGCACCACAGACATCGTCGTTTTGCATAGTGTGGAAATGTAAGTATGTAGCGGTATTGTCAGCCTCCTTATCCCGCACTTACTCGGTCGTCTTGGGCTTGACGTTGCGCTTCTGGCTCCCGCTGGGCTCGACGATGCGCTCCCGGAGCTTGGCAAAGCTAAAGTCCTTGGTCTTTTGGACCGACGTCGCGATCGGCGTCGCGACCTTCTCCATCGTAATGAGGCGCCGCGCGTACTTGGACGTGAGCTTCTCCTCCGAGTTGGCGACCACACGCAAGAGCGGGTGCACGGGCAAGTCGTCGTCCGTGTAGTCGTACGTGGTCGGCAGCAGGTACACGACACGGCCGCCGACGCGGAGGTTCTTTGCCGCAAACGTCAGCAGGTCCTTCATGACGTCTTCGGCCGCGTACGGCTGCGTCACGGGGAAATGCGTGTCGAGCCACTCCTCGGGAATCTCGCGCGGGCCGTACTTGGGCTTGCCCGACTTGGTCAATGCGGGCGGTGCGTCGGCGTCGTCGGCGTCCGCTCCCGCCTACGCGTGTGGCCTATGTCCTACTTGATACATTGATACATTGCGACATACCGTCCGCTTTTGCGGGCGCCGGCGCGAATGCCGTACGGCGGGTCGCACACGACTGCGTCAAAGTACATGGGGCACTGCAGCGGCGAGCGCGAGTTGTCGGCGCGGACAAGCTCGGGCACGGGCAAGTTGTATTGGTGAAAATTCGAGTAAATGGTCTTGTTGTTCTTGCCGTGGAGCACGCGCGTGTCAATGTCGGTGCCCATGCAGATGCCGCCAAACGTCGTGCAGGGCACGAGGACGCTGCCCGTGCCAACGAACGGGTCGATGACGAGGTCGCCGGGCATGACCAGCGCCATGTTGCACATGAGCAGTGCCATCTCGGCGTCCATCGACGTCGGGCCAATGTACGCGCGGCGCTTGAGCGTTTGCATATCGACCTAAGAAAGGATGGAAATCCAATGCGACGAGATGGGGGGGCCTACGAGGTCGCGGGCGCCGCCCCGGCCACGGTTGCGCTCGGCGCCGGCCAGAGTTCGGAGGAAGAAGATGCGCTGTGGCGTCATGGCAGCCTCGTCGACGCCGATGTCTTCGAGGATCAGAAACGTGTTGGACGGATTCGAGAGCACGACTGGTCCCTTGAACGGCAGGATCTCGCGGAAGCGCTCGCGGCGAGACGTTTGCTCGTCCATGCTCAGCTTGAGCCCAAACGCATCGACGTTGATCTTCCAGCTCAAGCTCGCATCCTCGACGTACGTCGTGCGCTCTTCAAAGGCCGCGACCGAGGCAACGACTTGGTCGTACGTTTGGCCGTGGCCCCAGATCTCGTAAACGCCCTTGACAAGAATGCCGCGCTGCGAGAGGAACTTGGCGTGCGCCTCGGACGGCAGCTTGATGTGCACAAGCGGCGACGAGAGCGGGTTGGCGTCGCGCGAGTAGCAAGCGGTCGGGTCAAGCGACTGCATCGTCAGGAGCGCATCGAGCTCCGGAAAGCGAAAGTCCTAGCGTCGGTACGAGCGTGAGAAGCGACATATCGGACGACGACGGCGACGTACCAAGTGGCGGTGCACAAAGAAGACCAGGTACTCCTTCATCGTGCTGCAGTCTTGGTTTGGGCACCAATGGATCCATGCCCCGTCCAGTATACTGGCCAATCCCCGTGTCGTATTGCTGTCAGAAAAGGGTCAGTGTTGTACCTTTTTTTGGCATCCATGGCGACATGATTTTCACATGTGAGGGCCGCTGTTTTTCACGTGCAATCGACGTCTAAAATGTGCACATGACGTGGTTTTTAGATGGCGTGCGTAGGTTAGGACTGTACCCGGCAGCAGGTAGCAAGAACGACACATTTTTTAGACCTGGAGTTTGTATGTATCGAAGTTCGCACAAAACCGTAGAATGAATGTTTAATAGGTGTTTTAATATGGCCTCAGAACCTTCGAACTTCTAGAAATCGAAGAATATCGATTGGCAGGGCGTTACGTGCCGCCATCGCCAACGCGTTCTTCGACCATTTTTGAAGCACAATATGGACATGTAAAACAACACATCTATAACTTTCAAGGCATACTGCATCACATTCAGACATTTTGGAATCAAGCGAGAGTCTCAAGAATGTCCAATTCCAAGTAGTTTTGAAATTATTGCATGTCCAATTTCCTCCTAATAAGGACGGTGCTTTTAGAATTATGTTGGTTAAAAATTCAATAATTACGCAAAAACAATTCAACACGTTGATTCTTGAGAACCGATTCGGTCCCGCGACTCGGTGCTGTGCTCTGCATCATGTTTAGCAACATAGCTATACTTGCGTAACAAAGGTTAGCGAATATCAACATTATTGACGATGTCATCGCTTGTCCAAATTCTTAAGTGACGTTGATGCAGACAGCTATCTTCTAGATTCTATTTAGTCATTAGCCCACACACAGTAGTACACTGACCGCACTTCAAGGCACCAGGATGCTCCAGGAAGCATGTATTTCATCTGCCGCCCCACACTTCTCGAACCCACTCAAGAGTTTCTTGTACCCGCATCAACCTTGACAGCGAGACGACACTCCCAGGTATTGACACAACTTGATGGATAACTAGCATCGCCCTCCGGGCATGTACGAGCACGTCGACTCATGATTATGAACTCGCAGGACACATGCCACAGAAAACGTGTTTGGACTGCGGACGACGTGTATACAAGGGTAGGCGCCGGGAACTTCTGCCCGGTGTGTTTTCTTGCATCACATGCTTCCAAGAATTGGGTCCATTAACGGATCGGGAAGCGCTGGTGGTTGACGACGAGCAAGACGCTGCAGCAGCTCTCGTGCAAATGGCACAACCCCAAGAGTACGAAACCCAACGATTGCGCCGCTGCGCCTTATGCCAAATTGCCAAGAGATTGGAAACATCATGATCATTGATTGTAGGCTGGGTGGCGATGCAGTTGAGTCAATGACAGCCCCGCGATGACTGCGCCACCGACGACTGGGCCACCGACGACAGCGCCACCGTTGTCTGCATCAACGACGACAGCGCCACCGACGACTGGGCCACCGACGACTGCGCCACCGTTGTCTGCATCAACGACGACTGCGCCACCGACGACTGCGCCAACGACGGCAGCGCCAAAGACGACTGTGCCAAAGACGACTGTGCCACCGACGACTGCGCCACCGACAGCAGCGCCACCGACGGCAGCGCCAACGACGATTGCGTCAACGACGGCAGCGCCAAAGACGACTGTGCCACCGTTGCGTGCACCACGGACGACTGCACCGCCGATGTCTGTCCCGCATATTACAGAACGACTATTCGACTCGTGTGAGATGAGCACATCGTACTACATAAAGGCTGTTTCTGCCAAGGCGTTCTGAATGTTCTGCCGTAGGTTTGACGAGCTCTTCTCGACTGATATCCAGCCCGTAAATCGTCGCCTCGAGTTTTCAGTGGTGTCCGACACCGACGAAGCGGTTGCAGCGCCGCCGCCAGCTCAACGTGAAGACAACAACGAGGTTCTAGTGTCCACTGTGTAAATCATCATATCCGTTCATATGTACGTTGTCATGCTAACGATTCGTGCATTCTAGGTCTGACGTCGAGGCTCATCGAGCAACGCTTCGCCTTGAGCTTGCACAAGAGCCAGACGTTTTTGATAACAGCGCACCGCCAATGTCACCGTACACACCCAATTAACTGTGCGTTATGACCCATTATTGCACTAGACCTCGAAGAGCTCGCGCGCTGGTGCCGCCGCCGATAGAGCCACGGTCGAAACGCGCCAAAAAACACAACAAGATGTACAAGCTTCTTCACGATTTTGCCACACGGCTTCAGCACTACGGCGTGGAGTTTTTCCGCAACTTGGATGCCACCGGCGACGTCGACTTTGAGTGCCTTCAACGCGTCCGCGAGCTCATTCCCGACGAGCTCTGGGGGCATTTTCACGGCATGACTCGGCCGTCGCGACCAAGGAAGAAAAAAGGCGCCGACCCAAGTACCCAGCAAGGCAGTTCGCAACGAGGCGAGCATGACGGCAACCACATCGGCGAGGAGGGTGCCGAAGAAGCCAACATAGAAGTCATCGTCTTGGTCGCACAAGCAGCGATGATACACAACCAGAAAGCGAATTTTGTGCACAAGATCGTCACGCTCTTCAACTATCTGAAAGGCAGCAGTGAGTTTCAGCTCAATAGCCTGAGCAAGCTCGGCCTCGGTATGATCCTTCTTGTCGATTGAACTGTCTAAGAACGCGTATTAGGTACGACGAAGCAGACAGTCCATGGAACGTGCAAGTTGCTTCTCAAGAGCCGCGACGGCAACATCAAGATGGAAGGGTTCGTGGTCTTCGGCGTGGACGATTTGACTCGCTTCCTCCATTTCGAGCGCATCCGTCCGAACGGCAGTACGTACTGCGCCATCAAGCTCGTCGTTTGCGTCATCAACGCGGTACCGCTGTCGTCGCCGGTGCCTCGGGATCTCTCTAAGCCACCGAACCCGCCCACATTTTGCTCCATGGATTGTCTCGCGGTGGCGGGTCTCTTCGACGACATCGTGGCCAAGATCGGCCATTTCCTCCCATGGTACACGGCGCGCTTCCCAAGCAAGGGACCACGCAACGACCTTTACGGCTTTGAGCTCTACCAGTACACGGACGTGAACGAGCGCTGGCACTCGGATTACCTCAGCGGCCTACGACTGCTGCGGATCAACGAGAGCGATTTCAAGTCCATCCGCCACGCACTTCTCCAGTTTCGCAGCTGCCTCGGTGTCGAGGCGTTTGACGCCTACTTGAAGGACAACATCATGATGCTCCCCGGCGACTATTGGGCTCAGTACACGTTCAAGAAGCTCATCATGATTTGCCGATTACCCGAGATCGAGCGCCGAGAAGTGCTCGCGACGTGGATGCCCGAGGACGAGTTTCCGACCGAAACCGAGATCGCACGTCTCGAGAACGTGGTTCCCATCAACGGACTCTTGCACATTAGCTTGACGCTCTTGGAAGCCGTGTGCCAGACGTTTGATCCGCTCATCAGGTTCTTGTGGCCCCAGATCGCGCCGAACCCGAAGCTTCGGCAGACGCTCAGCCATGCCGAGATGATCGTCTGCGCAGAGGTGCTGCTTGGTGGCTACGCTCTCCTTCGCGACGATCTTGGTCGGCGCCGGCGACGATGGAAGACCGCTGCTCTCGACTATCTCGTACACTTTTTTGAGCACTTGCTGCCTCTTGCCGTCGTCTTCTACGACAAGTTCGTGCGCAGCGAGTGCCATCTCGACTTGCTGCAAGCGATCATGCCCCACGTCGCTTTGGCCTTTGTCTTCCTCAATCGAACCCACTACAAGATCTCGACTTTGGAGTGGATCAGTCAGATTGAGCACATTCGGAAGAGCAACGTGCTGCTCTTCAACGCCATGCAGAATCACACACGCTGGCTTCTTGACGAGTATATGGTCGAGCACCAGAACGGTGTCATTGCTCGGAACACGAAGCACGCGACGACAGTGCACGAGTTCATCCGCAGCGGCTACCTCGGCGACGTTCTTGGCGAGACGACAGCGGCGATCATGGCGAACGTGCAAGGTAATCCACGGGCTCGGTCGACACGCACCGATTTGACGTCGCTTCAAAACAACGCCGCGCTAGCTATCATCAAGGTGTTTGAAGACGCCCGCGATCCGAAGCAGCTGACCGCCTCGCTTCGATGGAACGCCACCAAGGAGCGGTGGGTCTGCGAAGCGATCCATGCACGGTTTCTTGAAGGCGTAGACATCAAGTTGAAGTCAATGCCCGCGGTGTACCGCCTCCTCGAGAAATCAGGTACCGGTAAGCTGCATTTTGTGATGCCATGCGAAGATGCTGCTGCCGCTGCTGCTGCCATAACGGCCACGACGGCAGCGACTGCTTCTCTTTTCGCGACCAACCTACCCCAGAGCAAGCGACGCCGACTCGCCCCAAGCAAGAAAATCCAGAAGGACACCGCTTTGCACAAGTTTACTCGGTATCAAGTCCCAGACCAAGATTTCGTAGTTGAGTTTGTCAAGACGATCGTCAAAGATCTTGTCGACAAATCCGGCGACTCGTACACTGCACCGAAAAACAAGCTGTCGTTTGTCCCGATGAACCAAGGGTGCCTGAAGAGCCTGCTCGGAAAGAGCCCGTGCCCATGCTATGCCTCGAAAGTTCCAAGATTGCGTTGAAGGAGGCGCTTAGTAAAGTCCGTAGCTTCTCTCATTTGCAAGAACATTCAATAAGTACAACCATTCTTTATGCTTCGTGGAGGTCCCAAAACCAAAGAGAGCCTTCCGTTCGCAGCAGTTTCCACCTTGTTGTTGAGATGAGTCATTAAAATGCAATTATAAAGTGGAGATGGTTGACTTCGTAGTGCTCGTGTGGTTGGGGCGGTACGTCAAGCTGAGGGCGCTGGGTCGGGGCTCGGATTGTACAAGGAACGAGGTAGCGAGCACACCAAGGGTCGGCGCGTAGAGCGACAAGCGACTCGGCAAGCGAAGGCACCACAGCACGACGAACCAAGTGCCGGACATGTAATCGCGTGATAGTAGTTGCTTTGATCGCGAGCGCGCCTTGATCGCAAGCGCAGTAGCTGTAAGAGGCGTCAACGACGTGCGGAACACTCGGTTGTTGCGTTCAAGCCAAA